GAAACGGACATCTTAATATAACAAATACCATTAGACTGTTGACATTTCGTTTTATAAATATATCCTGGAAGTTGAATCGAACATTTATTTCGCAAACGTGTCTGTGAAATGTAATGATATGGCGTCAGATTCTAACGTAACATTTGCAGAGATCCTTTCTACTGCGTATTTGTTTCTGCGTATTCTCCATTTCAGTTATGTTACTGTATCTCAGCTTGTCTCGAAGGTAGGTATCTACAGGCCTTGGGTGTTTATCCAATGGTACAGTGCTGACACACCATGAAACATAATCTACGCCAATTTCCAACTCACAAAGAAACGTTCCTGACAAGGGTCGCACCGTCTCCGCCTTCTTTTTTGCAAAAGTAAAACAAGGAATAACATGTTTTTACTTTGGTAAGGAATAACATGTTTTTACTTTGGGACATGCATCTATAAATATTCTATTTATGATTGTTCAATCGCTGCAAAAGCGTTTATCCACCTCCAGGGTGAAATGACGTGAAATGACTTTGAAGCTTCCGAAGGTTCTGCTCTGTTCTGACAACTCCCCATTTCCTTCATACTTCGCACCCTAGGGATCCTGCAATATGGAGCTGTTCAGGAGCAATACAGTGCTGTTGAATATTGCAAACAAATCACAGATACTTCATCTTTATTAATCAAACATCGCCATCGCGAAACTACAAACAGGAACGTAACCCATCTGTGACCATAATAGATCTGACTAGAATTCCCATTGGCTGTTTCTCCAGACAGCACAGACAGAAGAGGAGAAGTTTGTTTGCACTACTTCTTGAACACTGAATGAGAAAAAACATCCTTATCATTAAACTTTCCGGATAGTCATGTGAAATTGTCTTGTTTCGCCGACCCGTGTCCCATGTTTATATCCAATATATCTTTATACCGATACATCCGTGACAATCAGTGTTATAATTGGTCTTCAGCAACCCAGGTTTGTCGTAAGAGGCTGCTGATGTCTTCGTGTCCCAATTGAGTAGATCGCTGTTCATCATGTCAGTCACGTGATTGTCTGGTCCAGACTCCATTGTTTACAACTTGATGTTGTGATGGGTATGATTCTAGTACATCTGCAGCTCTAGTTTTCAAGTCGAGTGGCGATGTGTCGGGAAGAATTGGAAACTTAAACAAGCAAAGGTTAAATTTTTGAAAAACCCATCGGGATGGCCAAACTACCATCTAATACTAGTAGCAGTGTTCTTAGTGACATTTCAGAGAGCAAACTGCAGCGGATCAAATAGTTAACAGCACTCTCATTTATCGTGGAATACGATCACGTTGTCGCTTGGATTCATAGTCTAAATGTATGGAAGCTAAGCTAAGATCAGCCAGTGTCACATGAATATCAATGTTATGAATAAAATCAGTGATTAATTCTTTTGTTGAACATGATTTTATCATTATCATCTGGATTAAGTCGGTTTGATTGAATACGATGTGCGGACATCGCAAAACTGTCCTTTATCTGCAGGCTTGATTAAGTAGGAGGGAGATTATTTCAGGGTTTTTTAATGCCAAGCTCTTTAAAACTACATTTTGTAGTTTTTGAATGTGCCAAGGGAATATGTCACCTCATTAAAGATATACCAAATTGAATTATTTTCAACTGTCCTGGTACTTGAAAGGTAACACTGTTACAAAACGTGTGTAGGAGGATGTCTCTGGCAGTTTTATCTTCACGCACAATGAAATATCTTGCATATTTATGTATTTACAAGGATTTCTTTGCTGTAATAAAAACTGTTCGACCGTAAACTAATATTTCATGAAATATTCTGCAAAAGAAATATTTCAAAGCGGTGTTTTGAAAGTGAAAAAATTTACTCGTATTTGAAGACGACGTGTTTTGAATAGTCTTTAATTCTTCTCGTAATATCTACTTTAGTCACATTGCTGATGTCGAATTTTCACTCGAAAGCTTTGTCAATATCTGTCATTATCAGCAGTAATCCTAAGAACAGACAATACATACGACAAAACAATTGGATACATATATATTGCAGCATGGTATTGTTATTAATAACATCCTTCTTGAATTAATTGAGAGAGAGTGTGAACGTGAATACACTAACAGTGACACCGTCATCTAATCAAGAGGACAAGTAAAGTGAATACATTAACAGTGACACCATCATCTAATCAAGAGGACAAGTAAAGTGAATACATTAACAGTGACACCGCAATCTAATCAAGAGGACAAGTAAAGTGAATACATTAACGGTGACACCGCCATCTAATCAAGAGGACAAGTAAAGTGAATACATTAACAGTGACACCGTCATCTAATCAAGAGGACAGGTAAAGTGAATACATTAACAGTGACACAATCATCTAATCAAGATGACAGGTAATGTGAATACATTAACGGTGACACCGTCACATGACCAAGATGAGAGGTATTGTGAATACATTAACAGTGACAACGTCATCTAATCAAGATAACAGGTAATGTGAATACATTAACAGTGACACCGCCATCTAATCAAGATGACAGGTAATGTGAATACATTAACAGTGACACCATCATCTAATCAAGATGACAGGTAATGTGAATACACTAACAGTGACGCCGTCATCTAATCAAGAGGACAGGTAATGTGAATACATTAACAGTGACACCGCCATCTAATCAAGATAACAGGTAATGTGAATACATTAACAGTGACACCGTCACATGTCTAACCAAGATGACAGGTAATGTGAATACATTAACAGTGACACCGTCACATGACCAAGATGACAGGTAATGTGAATACATTAACAGTGACACCGTCACATGACCAAGATGAGAGGTAATGTGAATACATTAACAGTGACACCGTCACATGACCAAGATGACAGGTAATGTGAATACATTAACAGTGACACCGTCACATGACCAAGATGACAGGTAATGTGAATACATTAACAGTGACACCGTGATCTAATCAAGAGGACAGGTAAAGTGAAAACATTAACAGTGACACCGTCACACCGTCGTCTGACCAAGATGACAGGTAATGTGAATACATTAACAGTGACACCGTGACATGACCAAGATGACAGGTAATGTGAATACATTAACAGTGACACCGTGATCTAATCAAGAGGACAGGTAAAGTGAAAACATTAACAGTGACACCGTCGTCTAATCAAGAGGACAGGTAATGTGAATACATTAACAGTGACACCGTTGATCTAATCAAGAGGACAGGTAAAGTGAATACATTAACAGTGACACAATATGTACACAATGACTGTGATACAATCACATTGTTGACTGGTCAGATATACTTCTTGCCAAAACCCCTTTATATCAGCACAATATATTTCGCTCTTCAGGTGTACAATGAAATCTGAGTCAGCTTTCAACTCAGCTTTCATTGTACACCTGAAGAGCCGTTGAATTCGAACATTGCCCATCTACCATTTATGAGCCTCCTTACAGTCATTCCTTCATGTTACATCCATGCTTCAGTATTTCATCCGAGGTCGATCTTACTTTCATTCCATACCATTCACCTCTGTTACTTCCATTGACATGTTTTTAGATCAGTTTTTAATCCATGAATTGAACTACCCATGATTCGAGATTGTTGAATTAGCAAACCGTTCATTTATTTTGATGCCATCCATCCGTCCACAAGAGTGGTGCAAGTTGCCACAGCAAGAACAGTAACATCTTTACTGGAACGAACCGTCATGTTGAATGAATCCAGATGCTGAGGTTAAATTTGATTACATCGAGAGATATACATTGTCGACTTGAGTGACATTCGGCCATATCCCTATAGCATACTCATTCAAGCCGAGGAAAATAAGAAGGAGGGACACAATTCTAAGGGGAAATTGTGCTCCAAGAAGGATGACATTTTTAAAGAGGTTGCCATGGAAGTATGTGCAGAGTTAAGGTTTTGATCAATTTGAAACGTTATATAAACTGTCCTCCTCTGGACATCGATTGACGTTTGGTGTAGAGTGTATTATCAAATTATCACGGCGCAGTTGCAAAAACGACATACAATCATAGGTAGTGATCACCTTTTTAAATGATAATAGATTTCTCTGGTTACTTTTTTATTTGAAAAGGGCATTTTGCTATTTTCGCCATCCCGATGAGGGTTTTTTAAATTTAACCTTTGCTTATTTAAGTTTCCAATTCTTCCCGACAAATCGCCACGATGGAGAGGAAAGAAATTATGTTTGCGCCCACTGAATAGTCCCTTGTCAATCGATTGAAGCATATTAGTGTCAGGCTCAATAAGACATTTGCAATGACAGTGAATGACATCATTGACATAGAATACATGCTGTTCTGAATATATGCCATCCGTGCCAAATGAAACGAATGCCCGATACATATTTCCAGTTGAATAACTCCACATCTGACAAAATTGAGACGATCATATCAATGGTTTAAAAAAACAATTTAAAACATTATTGATGCCTCAGCACCTGCTGGTAGCCACAGACCTTAAGAACTGTAGTCTTCAACAAGAAACCTTAGAGTGAAAGTATACACTGCCTCTTAACCTTGTTCTCTTGGAGAATGGATCTGCCAGTGGGTTAATTGAGGCGAAAAGCAACAACCTTTCGTGATCTATGACATTTAAGTTTCAATGCCGAAGGAGAGTTAGACCAGACACGAATTAAATCAAGAAAATTAGACAAGCCTCTTTGCTCTTGTAACTTTAATTCCCTTGGCCTTTTTAAGTGCTGTAATGCCCAAAGCAACATCGGTGAACCCTGGTCATCAAATGGTTATCTCTGACCTTTACTGTCTGACCCCTGGGACAGGTGCTGGACAGTTCGGCCAATGACGGCCAAATATATTTTCTGTGTAAGAAACGGTTTTGACATTTTGATGGTTTCATATCATGGATAAAACAGAATACACATCAAGGGTCGAGGGTTATGAGAGCCTGGTCATTTGAATTATGTAACTGTCAGTGAATACGACACAAAGTGAAATGTACTATATTTATTCTTTTCATAATACAAGCCTTTTAGCAAAAGGTGACCTTTCAATATACATTTACAGAATATCGATAACATTACAATAAGATTAACTGTTAATATAATCTGATCACATATATTTTAAAGTTGTTGAAACTATAGTATAAGTATATGATTTAATTAAAGAAATATTGAATTGTTTGCATGTTTTCATTACTACGCCATATTTTATAATGCTGGCAGGTTCAAGGTGGTTCATAATCTGAACGGTTCCTTTTATACAAGGTGATTGTTGCACCCGCTAACCCTGTGTACGGATTGTTCAACATGCAGCAATCTGACCACAACTCTCGGGAGGGACTGAACGATTCTACACTGTAAAGTCGTGTTCGAGTGTCCCAGTTGTATCCTCCAAGAATGAATATCTTGTCGGCAATGGCAGCCGTTCCAAACTCAGCCCTGGGTGTCCTCATTCTGCTGACAATAGTCCACGTGTCTGTTGTTGGTACGTATCTCTCAACTGTGTCCACGCAGACAACACGGCTGTCCACATCCAGAGTAGCACCGCCAACCAAGAACAGAGCACTACCTACTTGCTGGAGATCGGCAAAGAACCGGGGTATTGACAAAGGTGCCCTAACTTCCCACTTGTTTTCGGATGGGAGGAACCTTTCCACGCGACTCGATACGAATTTGGTACCTGCAAAAATAGTGAAGTGATGCCTTTGCACTTGAACTGTATATATACGAAAAGCAATCGAAGTTTCGAAAATATTATTGAAGATACAAGACAAAAGTCATAAATTGGAAAACAATGAGCAACTAGTTGAAATAACGAGACTTTTCGGTCGACAAAAAACATTATGCTTCCAAAGAGGCACCATCAGGCTTTTGTACATATTACATGTAATACGAAAATGTAAAAAAAATCCCCATGTTCTTTCTTTATAGCTCTATTCTTTACCTTTGGTTGACTAAAATCATGTATGAACTGTTATGAAGTTGGAAGTATATCATTTCTTGAAATATGCAATGACACATGGTTACCCGAGTGACCCTCTTGTCCTGGATGACAGATACGTTGCAGGCTCAGGTTAAAGGGAATGATAAAACTAAAATCAATAATGAAATTTAAGCTAAAAACTCCTTTTTTCTTTGAAAAAGAAAACAGCAGAAATAACAAAGTGGGAAAACTACATATTAACTTTTGTTAAAAACACTGTCCATAATAGACAGATCTATTTGGACATGTATATATTTTAGTGAGTCCTGTACTTAAAAAGGAATTATAAAAAATGATGACATTGAAACGAAAATTGGGCCATTTTGCATAATGCAGTCCTAATTTTACTCAAGACGTTTGTTTTTGTGTTTGGTACTCTTTGGCAGTGAAATAAAATTCTTTGAATTGAAACATAACATTATTAGTTTAAATTAAATACCACTGGTCACGGTGTACTGTGTGTCACTTAAATCAATGTGACGTTTGGTTGAAAAAGAAATTACATCAGCAACACATAAATTACCATTAAAAACAAATACGCTACCATGACGTATTCAGATTCAGATAACGTAAAAAACAACAGTAACCAGACACCTGTTTCTTTTACAGAGAATTTGAAAAATGAAAAAAAGGAACTTTCAAACAAGCCATTTACAGTTTATGAGAAATGAGAAAAGATTAGTGATAATATGATATCTGATGACGATATTGATGACAGTAACTTGATATCAGCCCGGACTTAGCTATATCAAGTGTCATATCTGCTCAAAGGATATACCCACTGTGATTTGTCAACACATTTCAATTTTCCTTAACGAGTGCCGTATATGAGAAAGTATCTGTAACACAAACGGAAGATCCGTGTTAGAATTGGTCTTCAGTAACCCATGCTTGGCGTAAGAGGCGACTAACGGGATCGGGTTGTCAGGCTTCCTGACTTGGTTTACACATGTCATTGTATCCCAATGGCAAAGATGATGACACGTGTCATTGTATCCCAATGGCAAAGATGATGACACGTGTCATTGTATCCCAATGGCAAAGATGATGACACATGTCATTGTATTCCATGATCATGATGTCATTCACTTGATTGCGTGGTCCGGACTTGATTATTTATAAACCGCTGACATATAGCTGAAATATTGCTGGGTGCAGCGTTAAATTACACATAAACAAACTTGTTTATTCTACTGTTATGAACACTACGCACAAATGTCCGATACACTGTTTCTGTTCAGTTGGACACTGAGATAGGATTGAACCCTTGCGGTGATGTACTCTCAGTTTCGCAGACTTATTGTTTTACTTTCGGGTTATGATTACCGATCTGGAAAGTTCGTTAATAAAGGTATCCTTTATCCTGCTCATCATGTGATGGAAACATTGGTTTAATGTTGTGTATACCTGTTCTGCATATCCTGACACAGGCTACAAACAGTTTAAAGATACACAACCACGTATTTAAAGAAGTACTTAATCCAAAGTTCGAAATCTTAAAATATAAATGCTTTGTCAAACATTAGCAAATACATACAGGATGCAATGTCTGTGCCCTGATACTGGTGTCTGTTCTCAAGCTACTCATCCATGTTGGAATCTGCAAGTTGCTGCATTAGTCTGTAAGTCTCACGAGGAGCTACTTCCGGTGCTAAGCTGGTTCCTGGCTCCCTTTGCGGGTGCCAACTTGCGATATGCGAGAGACGGGGCCCAGCTTACTTCCGGTACCAGATTTCCGGTGACTAGCGAATATTCAAGAACAAGTTCTGGTTCTAAATTGCGCGTCCGCCAAATATGACTTTATACTAGACCCGACCAGGTTACAAACACGATTGGCTGTCAGAGCTCTTGACAGTCGTAATAGTTGGGAGTGGTTAGATCGGAAATTTGTTATTCCTGCAATGATTATCGGTTCCTTATTGTCAACTGACGACCATGACAACATTGGAACAGGTATGAAACGTTGTTTATCACCGGAAGTACTAAGGTCTCGCAAAGTATACCTACTTACGGGCCCTATACTGCAGAAAAATGATTGACTCATTGGAATGTTACCTGATCCACCTATGGCGTACAATTTCCCATGCATGGCGGCTACAGCCACGCTCCGCTTGGGTGCAGAAATGGGTGCTACTTCCTCCCATTCATCTTTACTTGGAGTATACCGCTCAACAGATGACAGAGATTCCGACTTGTCCACCCGTCCACCTGAAGGAAATATATGCGGTTGTTAAAATCATTGTCAGATGATTCAAAACTTGTAATCCACGCCTGGAAAGGTTAACAGCCATAGGTTATTAAACAGAAGAGAGGAAGCTACTGGTATTTAATGTCAGTCAAAAGGTTACCTGGATTCATAATACATTCTACTCTCATTGCAGCATGTATTTTCAGTTATGCCGGAAGTTGTGGGCAATTTGTGCATTTTCCGGTAAGATAATATTGCACTGGAACTGAGTTTCCATTCTTGTAGATTCGGTCTGTTAAACATTGGGCTCTTTGTTGTTTCACACTGCCCCCAGCAATCCAGATATATGACGGTAGTATGTGATTGAGACCATGATCAACGTCGGAGTATGATGGCACGCAGTTGACCAAACCTGCCCAAACTATCAATAACATTGCCCCGTACAAGTACAGGGGGGTTCTGGGCCAGTCCGAACAGGGAACCCGAACAGGACAGGTGTCACACATAAGACTGCCTGAGGAATATGATAAATACGGTATTTGCTTGTAAGTTGCTTAATTAACTACATTGTCAATTAAAAGTTTCCTATAAGTGCTCGAGTTAGTAGTGGATACGTCTGGAATCCTAGAAGCGCCGCCCTTACAAAACCAAGCAAAAAGTGCGTTTGATGTTATTGCTTCTCGGTATGGAGCCATCAGTATGAGCAACACAATGATGAGATCACCGTATTTTGAATACTGTAATTTACGTAGAGAGCGTGTATTCTATCAGTTTGTGTATGTTCTTCAATTTTTACAGAAATATTTGCGATGTATTTCAGAAAAATTACCCATGCCATTGCATTGACCATCAAGAGAACGACAGTGTAATTCCAAATGCTTGATTTCATCTGACATCACTGGAAACTCGGTTTCTTACTTTAGATTAAATCCAATACAAAGTACGCGGGATTGTGTTTTAGCATTTTATGTAACTTTTGATTGCCTGTGTTATTTCTACAAATGTCAAAAAATCCCCATGTTCTTTCTTTATAGCTCTATTCTTTACCTTTGGTTGACTAAAATCATGTATGAACTGTTATGAAGTTGGAAGTATATCATTTCTTTGAAATATGCAATGACACATGGTTACCCGAGTGACCCTCTTGTCCTGGATGACAGATAACGTTGCAGGCTCAGGTTAAAGGGAATGATAAAACTAAAATCAATAATGGAAATTTAGTTAAAAACTCCTTTTTCTTTGAAAAGAAAACAGCAGAAATAACAAAGTGGGAAAACTACATATTAACTTTTGTTAGAAAAACACTGTCCATAATAGACAGATCTATTTGGACATGTATATATTTTAGTGAGTCCTGTACTTAAAAGGAATTATAAAAATGATGACATTGAAACGAAAATTGGGCCATTTTGCAAAATGCAGTCCTAATTTACTCAAGACGTTTTGTTTTTGTGTTTGGTACTCTTTGGCAGTGAAATAAAATTCTTTGAATTGAAACATAACATTATTAGTTTAAATTAAATACCACTGGTCACGGTGTACTGTGTGTCACTTAAATCAATGTGACGTTTGGTTGAAGAAATTACATCAGCAACACATAAATTACCATTAAAACAAATACGCTACCATGACGTATTCAGATTCAGATAACGTAAAAACAACAGTAACCAGACACCTGTTTCTTTTTACAGAGAATTTGAAAAATGAAAAAAGGAACTTTCAAACAAGCCATTTTACAGTTTATGAAATGAGAAAAGATTAGTGATAATATGATATCTGATGACGATATTGATGACAGTAACTTGATGATATCAGCCCGGACTTAGCTATATCAAAAGTGTCATATCTGCTCAAAGGATATACCCACTGTGATTTGTCAACACATTTCAATTTTCCTTAACGAGTGCCGTGCTATGAGAAAGTATCTCGGTAACACAAACGGAAGATCCGTGTTAGAATTGGTCTTCAGTAACCCATGCTTGGCGTAAGAGGCGACTAACGGGATCGGGTTGTCAGGCTTCCTGACTTGGTTTACACATGTCATTGTATCCCAATGGCAAAGATGATGACACGTGTCATTGTATCCCAATGGCAAAGATGATGACACGTGTCATTGTATCCCAATGGCAAAGATGATGACACATGTCATTGTATTCCATGATCATGATGTCATTCACTTGATTGCGTGGTCCGGACTTGATTATTTATAAACCGCTGACATATAGCTGAAATATTGCTGGGTGCAGCGTTAAATTACACATAAAACAAACTTGTTTATTCTACTGTTATGAACACTACGCACAAATGTCCGATACACTGTTTCTGTTCAGTTGGACACTGAGATAGGATTGAACCCTTGCGGTGATGTACTCTCAGTTTCGCGGACTTATTGATTTTACTTTCGGGTTATGATTACCGATCTGGAAAGTTCGTTAATAAAGGTATCCTTTATCCTGCTCATCATGTGATGGAAACATTGGTTTAATGTTGTGTATACCTGTTCTGCATATCCTGACACAGGCTACAAACAGTTTAAAGATACACAACCACGTATTTAAAGAAGTACTTAATCCAAAGTTCGAAATCTTAAAATATAAATGCTTTGTCAAACATTAGCAAATACATACAGGATGCAATGTCTGTGCCCTGATACTGGTGTCTGTTCTCAAGCTACTCATCCATGTTGGAATCTGCAAGTTGCTGCATTAGTCTGTAAGTCTCACGAGGAGCTACTTCCGGTGCTAAGCTGGTTCCTGGCTCCTTTGCGGGTGCCAACTTGCGATATGCTGAGAGAGACGGGGCCCAGCTTACTTCCGGTACCAGATTTCCGTGACTAGCGAATATTCAAGAACAAGTTCTGGTTCTAAATTGCGCGTCCGCCAAATATGACTTTATACTCAGACCCGACCAGGTTACAAACACGATTGGCTGTCAGAGCTCTTGACAGTCGTAATAGTTGGGAGTGGTTAGATCGGAAATTTGTTATTCCTGCAATGATTATCGGTTCCTTATTGTCAACTGACGACCATGACAACATTGGAACAGGTATGAAACGTTGTTTATCACCGGAAGTACTAAGGTCTCGCAAAGTATACCTACTTACGGGCCCTATACTGCAGAAAAATGATTGACTCATTGGAATGTTACCTGATCCACCTATGGCGTACAATTTCCCATGCATGGCGGCTACAGCCACGCTCCGCTTGGGTGCAGAAATGGGTGCTACTTCTCCCATTCATCTTTACTTGGAGTATACCGCTCAACAGATGACAGAGATTCCGACTTGTCCACCCGTCCACCTGAAGGAAATATATGCGGTTGTTAAAATCATTGTCAGATGATTCAAAACTTGTAATCCACGCCTGGAAAGGTTAACAGCCATAGGTTATTAAACAGAAGAGAGGAAGCTACTGGTATTTAATGTCAGTCAAAAGGTTACCTGGATTCATAATACATTCTACTCTCATTGCAGCATGTATTTTCAGTTATGCCGGAAGTTGTGGGCAATTTGTGCATTTTCCGGTAAGATAATATTGCACTGGAACTGAGTTTCCATTCTTGTAGATTCGGTCTGTTAAACATTGGGCTCTTTGTTGTTTCACACTGCCCCCAGCAATCCAGATATATGACGGTAGTATGTGATTGAGACCATGATCAACGTCGGAGTATGATGGCACGCAGTTGACCAAACCTGCCCAAACTATCAATAACATTGCCCCGTACAAGTACAGGGGGGTTCTGGGCCAGTCCGAACAGGGAACCCGAACAGGACAGGTGTCACACATAAGACTGCCTGAGGAATATGATAAATACGGTATTTGCTTGTAAGTTGCTTAATTAACTACATTTGTCAATTAAAAGTTTCCTATAAGTGCTCGAGTTAGTAGTGGATACGTCTGGAATCCTAGAAGCGCCGCCCTTACAAAACCAAGCAAAAAGTGCGTTTGATGTTATTGCTTCTCGGTATGGAGCCATCAGTATGAGCAACACAATGATGAGATCACCGTATTTTGAATACTGTAATTTACGTAGAGAGCGTGTATTCTATCAGTTTGTGTATGTTCTTCAATTTTTACAGAAATATTTGCGATGTATTTCAGAAAAATTACCCATGCCATTGCATTGACCATCAAGAGAACGACAGTGTAATTCCAAATGCTTGATTTCATCTGACATCACTGGAAACTCGGTTTCTTACTTTAGATTAAATCCAATACAAAGTACGCGGGATTGTGTTTTAGCATTTTATGTAACTTTTGATTGCCTGTGTTATTTCTACATTGTATATTAGATTAAATGAACGCGACACCAGCTTCTGGATCGGTTGAGTAATGAAGAAGTCGTAATTCGAAATCTTTAGATATATGAAAATACAGTTTAGGCAGTGGGCCATGGCAAAGTCTGGAGAGCAAGCAATCATTGTACGCATGGTCATTTAATACAATTGATATATAAATCAAGGACATTTGACCTTTAAAAAAGGAAAACCTAATACAAACGATCCATTTCAGTTGGATAAGGTTCATCACCAGCAACTCCACTACAGCTATATCTGATGTTTGGTAGACTTAATCTGTTTGTGAAATATTTCATGGCCGTCTTCACTTCTACTTTGATATTCGGACAGGGGATCGAAGTCGAGCGTTGTCTCCAGAGATAATTTGCATCTGTCTATACTAAACTAATTAAAAGTCCCGTTGATGCCATGGGCTAGTAATTGAGAAGCTCAAATTAATTTCATTACCCAACATGTATCAAACAACAAAAAAGCAGAAAAGAGCACGCATGAAGCTGCTTCCACTTTGTTAAATAGTCTTTGAACCGACGACATCGGGTTTTGTTGATGATGTACATAGCAGCCTAACATTGCTTCAATTACACCCACGGAAAACATGCTAATGCACATGAAAACATAACAGGTTCAACAATAAAAACATCAGTGGTCAAAAAAACATAAAGATATTTTCATCTACTTCAGTTTATAAGTGAATATGTGACTGAATATGTATTCGCGCGTCTTGGCGAAATAATCGAACCGTATGACGGTGGGGGAACAGTTCACTCATGATATGGAGACCCCAGATCGGGTATCGGGTAAAACTACTGAATATTTTAACCACAAGACTACCCCCATCGTCACACATAAATTCATGAAATACACTTCCCCGTGGAGAGGTCATTATCTAGATTCGACCGAGGCTAAGGCAAACAAAAACTATCCCAACTGCCATATTTCTTCTTTCAAAAATGTCATGTTCGCACAGGTTCACATAAACTTTATAACACTATTATACATCATCTAAAGACAGACAAGGTCTGGTGCAAGTAATGAACGCACAAAGAGATTTTTTTCCATCCTGTAATTACATCACAGGTCGCATTAAACAAGGCTATTAACTTAGGCATCCACGATTAAAGCTGTCAAGACAATAAAGCATCCACGATGAAGAGTATCAACGTCACAAAGCATCAGTGATGGGGCCTGGCAGCATGGAGAGGCACCCACCATTGTAAGATGTCAGCAATATAAGATGTCGAGAACTAAACCTGTCAACACAGTCAAACTCTAACACTGAACCTGTCACCACAGTCAAACTCTAACACTGAACCTGTCACCACAGTCAAACTACCACAGTCAAACTCTAACACTGAACCTGTCACCACAGTCAAACTCTAACACTGAACCTGTCACCACAGTCAAACTCTAACACTGAACCTGTCAACACAGTCAAACTCTAACACTGAACCTGTCACCACAGTCAAACTCTAACACTGAACCTGTCACCACAGTCAAACTCTAACACTGAACCTGTCAACACAGTCAAACTCTAACACTGAACCTGTCAACACAGTCAAACTCTAACACTGAACCTGTCAACACAGTCAAACTCTAACACTGAACCTGTCACCACAGTCAAACTCTAACACTGAACCTGTCTCACCACAGTCAAACTTTAACACTGAACCTGTCACTCACAGTCAAACTCTAACACTGAACCTGTCACCACAGTCAAACTTCTAACACTGAACCTGTCACCACAAGCAAACTCTAACACTGAACCTGTCACCACAGTCAAATCTCTAACACTGAACCTGTCAACACGTCCAAGTCAACACGGTCCAAGTCTAACACTGAACCTGTCACCACAGTCAAGCTCTAACACTGAACCTGTCACCACAGTCAAACTCTAACACTGAACCTGTCAACACAGTCAAACTCTAACACTGAACCTGTCACCACAGTCAAACTCTAACACTGAACCTGTCACCACAGTCAAACTCTAACACTGAACCTGTCACCACAGTCAAACTCTAACACTGAACCTGTCAACACGGTCCAAGTCTAACACTGTCAACCTGTCAACATAGTCAAACTCACAACCCTAACACTGAACCTGTCAACATGGTCCAAGTCTAACACTGAACCTGTCAACATAGTCAAACTCTAACACTGAACCTGTCAACATAGTCAAACTCTAACACTGAACCTGTCAACATAGTCAAACTCTAACACTGAACCTGTCAACATAGTCAAACTCTAACACTGAACCTGTCAACATAGTCAAACTCTAACACTGAACCTGTCACCACAGTCAAACTGAACCTCCTGAACACTGAACTTGCCGTCAAACGCTACCGGAACCTGTTATTACAGGTCAGGCTTCTAACACTGAACCTAAGTCACCACAGTCAAACTCTCTAACACTGAACCTGTCAACACAGTCAAACTCTAACACTGAACCTGTCAACACAGTCAAACTCTTAAACATCACCACAGAACCTGTCAACACGAGTCAAACTCTAACACTGAACCTGTCAACACAGTCAAACTTTAACACTGAACCTGTCAACACAGTCAAACTCTAACACTGAACACTGTCACCACAGTCAAACTCTAACACTGAACCTGTCACCACAGTCAAACTCTAACACTGAACCTGTCAACATAGTCAAACTCTAACACTGAACCTGTCACCACAGTCAAACTCTAACACTGAACCTGTCACCACATAGTCAAACTCTAACACTGAACCTGTCACCACAGTCAAACTCTAACACTGAACCTGTCACCACAGTCAAACTCTAACACTGAACCTGTCAAGACGGTCCAAGTCTAACAACAAACATGTCAACACAGTCAAACTCTAACACTGAACCTGTCAACACGGTCCAAGTCTAACAACAAACATGTCAACACAGTCAAACTCTAACACTGAACCTGTCACCATAGTCAAACTCTAACACTGAACCTGTCAAGACGGTCCAAGTCTAACAACAAACATGTCAACACAGTCAAACTCTAACGAAAAATACATGTCAACACAGTCAAGCCCTAACGCTGCCAAGCTCCAAAATCAAAACCCGTCAACACAGTCAAGCTCTAACACTGAACCTGTCAACACGGTCAAGCCCCAAATGCTGTGAAGCTCTAACAACTGAACTTGAACCGGGCACCTCTAACAACTAAGCTCGTCGACAGTCAAGCTCTAACAAATATACCTGTCAACTCAGGTAACGTCACCTGTCACCCGGGTCAAGTTTTACAAGTAAACCTACCAACACATCGAGGCTTTGGAGACTGAACTTACTTTGTTTGTTTGTTTGTTTTTTGTTGTGTTTTTTTAACGCAGCACTCAGGAAGGTTCAAGCTGTATGACAGTGGGATGTAAATAATCGAGTCTGAACACGACAACTCAGGGAACCCGACCACGCAACCCCCTTAGCCGCCTCTTACAATCATGCGTTGCTGAAGACCCATTCTGACCCGGAGTTTAACAAGCTGTCAGCGTAGCTGTGCTTTAACAACTCATTGATTAACCGTGTCGAAGTTTAGGGCACTAAATAGAATTAGGCTACAAACAGCGTGTCATTGCAGTGTGTACGACTCGTCCCGTCAGTACCAAGTTTTACGACTCAACCAGTCCGTATAATGAAGATTGTACAACCGAATATGTAAAGGTTGTGAGGTTTAGGCGCGAAACCTTTCTATAACGCAAAGTTTGTATGTCTAAACCTGCAAAAGATAGAGACTTTTACGATTCAACCTGTGAATGTAGAAAAACAAACTTTTTCTGCCCAATAGCGTGAAGAGTCATAACAAATCAGTCTTTCAACTGTATACGTAAACGCTTCTAACTGAAGGATGCTAACTAGCAACTGAATAACACATCCCTGACTAAGCATAAGAGAATGTGTACCCACCTATCAGGTCTCCAGACATCTACACTACAAACCCTAATGAGCGAGAAGTTGAAATCGACATTTTACAACATTTTGGCAACCTGACAGTTTCCACAGT